TCCAGAAAGGATGGGACAGGGTAAGCACTACACAAATCTCAACAAGGCATTGGTCACTGTCACCTATTGTTTTTGTACATGGTTGGAAGGTCTTTGAGTCCATTTCACTATTTCATGTCTCTTCCACTGGCCCACACAGTTCCATGGCCTCTCTCATCAGGTAGGGCTGTTCAAAGCTACTTACCCAGCCAGGCTCCGCTCATTTACTGTCCACCAGCAGCTTCTTGCCATCCTCACCTCTGCCCCCATACTCCATGGAAGAGATGATTTCCTCTATTCTGCTCTACTTTGTTTTAAGCATTCTTCTAACATGATTCTTCCGAGCATGATTTTACTTGCTCTCTTTGTTCACAAGGTGCCAGATCCCAGAGTCCATGGCCATAAGCAAGGTCCCATCCTCTTGGAGACAATCTCCTGTGGATGTTTCTCACCACAGAGCTTTACTGCCAGGTCTTGGGTCAGTATCTTCTGTCCTGGTCCTGACCTAGTTCTAGGGAGCCAGCTACAACTGACAATATGCATATTTATTATATGAGTATTATGAAGATTTGATACTTTATCAAATGTGTATTCTAACTCTACCAACTTACCTTTTGATTGATTACTTACTACGTGATTTTGAGCAAGTTGATTCTCTGTGCCTCAGCTGTCTCATCTCTAAAATGAGATCATGATAGTGCTTCCTTGTAAGGATATTATAAAGTTTAAATTAGACATCCATGTGCTTAGAGCAGAACCTGGCACATAGGAAGCACTCAGTCAATATTTGTTCCCATATTTAAATAATAATAGAAATAAATAGAAAACTATAACAGTCAACAGATCCAATTTCTTTATTTAAAGTGTCCTAAGAAAGAATGGCCAACATGAATAACATTCCTCCATTTATAGACAAGTTAATGTGGAGGCTCCTAACAGTTGAATTTGGCTTGAGGCTCTCTCCTGTAGAAATTCTCCCTGAATCTCACCTCATGAGAGAGAGGTTACACATTTGCTGGGAAGGAAAAGTCCATATGATATGAATTTTTTATTTATCTTTCAAAATGTAAATGATTTCCTTTAGGCCACAGCTCTGTAGGCCAGTACAAATTTGCATAGCTCTCTCATATTAATTTCCATGCTTCTCTGAATTTGAACTAACTTTTCTAAACCCTAGTTTTACCATGCTGAACTATTTAAGCCCTACATTTAGTCAAATTAGTGTTTTAACCAAGCTTCTTCTCTGTAACACAAATCGCCTTCACTCATATTAGATTATAATGTCAAGGAAAAGCAACATCTATGGACCCACAGGGAATATTTCTCAAACGTTAAGGGGTTGACTTTTTCACTAATCAGCTAATTCATTTTTTGTCCTTTGACTTCACATGTCATGAGGTCAAATCCATTGGAAGCATATTAGATTGACTCACCAAAGAATATGAACTTTTCTTGCTCCTTTATCTTTTTTCATGTAAATTAATAATGAATGTCCAGTTACCAAAATTATAGCTCACTCCAGGTTATTTTTACCATGCTGAACTATTTAAGCCCTACATTTAGTCAAATTAGAAACTGGAAAATTTTGCTGTTAAGGAGATTTTCAGGCACAGTTAATAATTCAGCTAACCTGCACACCTGGGCAAAATAAATAGCTTACTGACTGCTTGTTGGCTAAGTCACTGCCAATTATATTATTTGAAACTTTAAAAGTACTGTCCCCCCCACAAATTTTGGAATTACCTGTAGGAAAGCAAGGTGTTCAGGGTGCTGCTGCAGCATTTCATTACTATATGTGCATTTCCTCCTTAAAGTCTGGGAATTTGTTTTTTTAAGAAGGAAGAAAATAAGTGAAGCACACCCATTACTATGGTTATTTCCCTCCAACTCCAAACCCTGCAAAAATTCTACCACCAAATGTTAGAAGAGAAGGGATTCTGCTCTAAGCTTTAAGCACAACTAAATAAATTACCTCAAATATCTGTTTCATAGGAATTCCAAAGAGCCAGGTTAATGGTCAGTATTGAACTTTACCAACTAATTACTTTTAATTTATTCTTTTGAGCACCTGTTTTGTGAGGGGCACTGTTCTGATCAGTTGGATACATAAGTGAACACAACCGTCAAATATCTCTGCCCTTGATTCCACTGTAGAAAGTGGGGTGGGGCAGGGCAGGGAAACAGACAATAGGATACATTTAATAAGAAGTTCTTCTGGTATGTTAGAAAGTGATATATTCTATGGGAAAAGGAGATTAGGAGAATGTGAATTCAGAGTAGGGGAAGAGATTGCAGTTTAGGATGGTTTGGGGTGAAATGGTAGTGCCACAGAAATGGAGCATGACATACCCAAGTGAGGACGTGAAGGAGCGGGGAGAAGAAACCTGCACATCTGTTTTCAGCAAGGAAGACCTGGCTAGGTATTAAAGATACATCTCATTCTCTCCTTCTCCCAGCCATCCGAGGGCAGTTCCCGGCCTCTTCTCTCAGTGTTGGAGTGAAATAAATTATAAAAAGATATGCCCCAGGCTTTCAGATCCTATGAGATCCTGCCTAATTTAAGCTCTTGTGAGCAGTATATTTCCCATTAGCTGTCCCAATTCACAGTGGGTGGAAGAAGAAAGCATTGAGTGGGATATGCAGTTTGATTCAATAAGCACTTATTAGTACCTTTTATTTGCCTAGAACAGCTTTGTTCGATTTAAGTGAGAGAAAGATGCCGAGGTTCTTACGATGCCTTCAGCTGTGTTGGAAGACAAACCACAGATAAATGAATATGTGTAAAAATATATAAGGCAACGCTGAGCCAATGTTGTGTATACACTCATGTGTGAAAGAGAAGCATCACTGTAACCTGGACTTATGCCGGAGCTTTTTGGAAAGTGAGACAAAGTTAGACCTTGCTAAACTTGAGTGTGGTGATGATGCAAGTGGAGGCCACTGGGGGAGGGGCAACAGCCTCCCATGAAGACACAGAGGCAGAGAGCTCCTCGGATAAAGTAGAGAAGCCTGGCCAAGGACTTCAGGATTAGGAGTGATTAGCCAATAGACTCACACAAGGATCTCCACGCTGCAAAGTCTTAGATGGGGGAGGGGTGACACCTATACAGACAGACTGTTGCAGTGAGAGGCAGAGCTGGACCGGAGGAGCCGGGTGACAGAAGTGATTCTGTTACCTATCACCTTAGAAAGAAAAATGGAGACTAAAGGTATCTCCAAAAAACAAAAAGGTGCTTTCGTTTCTTCAATTACATGGATATATCCTACTCGTCTAAAAGTATGGCCTTACTTTTTTCCCTATCATTATAGTTATAGACTTTGAACTTCAGTCAGGAGAAAGTTTAAAGACAGGGATTAAACAGGTGTGTGTGTTTTTAAATCCTTACCCAAGGTTATTTTTCCATTAATTTTTTGTTGTTGAAAGTGTGTGTGTGGGGGG